TTTGCTAGCTCAGTCTTAATTATCAACCATAACTATTTATCTATATATTTTATAAGAACTTATCTTATTGAGGATGCCGGCTGTATGTGTCCTGTCTTCCCAGGGATTACATGGCAACTCCACAGAGAAGACAGGAGGAGGAAGAGAGCAATTTTCTGCTTGTCCCTGCTTATATTCTGAATCTGCCTCCTATGTCACTTCCTCCATGGATCACAAGACTTCTCTTTACTACATTTCCCAGAATCCTCCTGGACTCCTAGTCCCGCCTAACTTGCTTCCCTATTGGCCAACAGTACTTTATTTATCAACTAATAAGACAAAGATATACACAGAAGGACCTCTCCCATCATCTCCTCTTTTCTGTCTAAATAAAAAGAAGGATTTTAACATTAATATAGTAAAATATATAACAAAACAGTTATCAAGTAAGAACTATAGTTAGGATATTTAGTTCATTAGCCTTTAGCAAGACTTAAAGAACATATTCTATCATCTATCCTATCCTGGCCCCTAGGCTTGGAATTCTTCTTTTATTATATATCTGTGGCTCTGGAGGCTGTCCTGGAACTAGCTCTCGTAGACCAGGCTGGCCTTGAACTTACAGAGATCTGCCCGCCTCTGCCTCCCGAGTGCTGGGAGAGTCCAAGGTCTTATATGTAGCTTATCTTTTATAATAACTAAAGAAAACTATAACCATAACAGTCTTCAACTCCATCAAAGACCACAGAAGGATAATATACAAACTATAGATCTGACAGAGATATATCACTGCCTGGACAATCACCCAAAGTTCCTCTGTAACATTTGGGGCATCCATCTTCAACCTACAAGCCACAGTGTATTTGGCAGACTCCTCCATGAAGCAGGAACCCTTCAGGACTGTCTTGTTTTGCAAGTTCAGCAGTCACTTTCCTGTGGGTCCTGCATGTCCAGTTTATACAGTAACAAACAGTCCAGGCAAGAGCAGTTTCTTGCTCAAATGGCTAATCTTGCCATGTTGAAAGCAAACTCCATAACGAGTTTCTTCGATGCCAATCTTCCTTTCTGACATAATTGGTGTGCCAGGAGCAGTTGTGTCTCACTGCCATGAAAAACCCTAAACCATTTAAATGTCATATATTCTGTAGGTCTTTGAAAGGTTTGAAGAATATCTATCCATCTCAACTACATCTCAATATTTCTAGAAAACCTAACTAATCTAATTATTGGTTCTGACTATTATAGGTGGATATGTAATCTGTATTTAATTATGCATTACATTTTAAAAGATCAGTATAAACACCATACCAAAAAGGAGAAATTTATATATAACCAAATTAACCTTAAATTTGTATCAATAAATGAAAATTATACCAATGTAAAGTAACCATTTCTATATCCTATTCCCTGTTTTTCCTTTAAAAAGAGATTGACTGTGATCATTACCATTTATAACCAACCCCATTTAAATAAAACAAACATTTGTAAACAATATTTGGGAATTTGGACGTTGTTCATCCCAAACTGCTTCCTGTCGGTTGGGGGTTATGTCCATACCTTGGGGATCATGACAAAACACAGAAACCTGCCCAGGTCCTTGTTTTTGTAATCTGTAAGGCTGTATGGTCTCAGCTGTTTTAGATTTTGCTCAGTTGGGCCACTGCTTCAGGGGGTCTTGCTTGATCAAGCCATATTAATCTGGAAGGAATCCACAGCTTTACATTTTCTGTGTAAACAAAAAGCAGAAATTCTTTTCCCAAGAAGCCTGTCGTTAGACTTAAATTTTGAAGTCAAAGCATTTTTAAAATGTATAAGTTGGATTAATTCAGCAGCATTTATAATCAAATGTCTTTTAGCAGTTGTTGCTCCTTCCCTAGCAATTAAACAATTTAAAGACAACAATATAGTATCCAGACTCTCTGTGTGTATTTTCAATCTTTACATGGCTTTTTCATTACTCTATTTCTTCTTTTTTTATTTTTTCCTTTTATGAGACAGCGTTTCTCTTTGTAACTTTGGCTGCCCTTGAATTCACTCTGTACACCACCAGGCTGGCCTTGAAGTCACAGAGATCTGCTTGCCTCTGCCTCCCAAGTGCTGGGATTAAAGGCCTGTGTCACCACACACAGCTACTCTTTTCCTTTTTCTTTTTTTAACACTTTATCCTGTTTCTTTTTCTCTCATAAGCCCACATATATTAAAAAAAGGCTGGAAACCTTTTTTTTTTTTTCATCTGAATCTGTCTTTATTGTAAATCTTTACCTTTTTCTGGCCATTCAGTCTTTTATCTGCTAAACAACACTGCTAAAATTAAAGCCATGGCTGTTTTAGCCACTGTCTTTCCAAGATGGTGGGAGTACGTTTACTGCCAATACTGAGAGCTGTGCTCACTGACTTGGTTTATGTTGCCATTAAGCAACAGTCTGTGGGCTTGGAGAGCCAGCTGCTCATTCACACCATTGAACTGTTAGCAAGAGCCCTGCGTTTTGTTTTGTTGCCATCAAGCAGCAGGCTGTCGGCTTGGAGAGCCAGCTGCTCATACATGCCATTGAATTAAAGACCCCTGGTTTGTTTTTTTTTTTTTTTTTTCTGCTTATGCTGAGTCAGGAAGCCTCTCTTTAAAGGAGCTGCTCAAATCTCTGCTTGTCTCCAGCAAAACAGAGCCCACCCGAGAAAATGCTGCTACCAAGAAGTCGTGCTTGTCTCTGTTCTTTTGCTTCTAAAATCCCTTTTTAAGCTTTTGTGAAGTTTTTATGTGGAAGCTCGTAAAACCATGTCTGACACCCTTTTGTAACAATAAATCTTTCTGTCAAGCCGCCTGAGCCCCACAGCCACATGGGTGCCCAAAGTAACACACAGAGACTTATATTAGGTACAATGCTGCTGGCCAAATGACTAGGATTTCTTATTTGCTAGCTCAGTCTTAATTATCAACCATAACTATTTATCTATATATTTTATAAGAACTTATCTTATCGAGGATGCCGGCTGTGTGTGTTCTGTCTTCCCGGGGATTACTTGGTGACCCCACAGAGAAGACAGGAGGAGGAAGAGAGCAATTTTCTGCTTGTCCCTGCTTATATTCTGAATCTGCCTCCTATGTCACTTCCTCCATGGATCACAAGACTTCTCTTTACTACATTTCCTAGAAACCTCCTGGACTCCTAGTCCCACCTAACTTGCTTCCCTATTAGCCAATAGTACTTTATTTATGAACCAATAAGACAAACATATACACAGAAGGACCTCCCCCATCAATCAGCCTTCTGTCAGATGTGCGTGGGTTGGTGGAGTTCTTTTCCCATTTGTAGGCAGCCATTTTGTCTTGTTGACAGTGTTCTTTGCTTTACAGAAGCTTCTCAGTTTCAGGAGGTCCCATTTATTAATTGTTGACCTCAGTGTCTGAGCTACTGGCGTTATGTTTAGGAAGTGGTCTCCTGTTCCTATGCATTCAAATGCATTTCCCACTTTCTCTTCTATGAGGTTCAGTGTGGCTAGATTTATATTGAGGTCTTTGATCCATTTGGACTTGAGTTTTGTGCATGGTGATAGATATGGATCTATATGCATTCTTCTATATGTTGACATCCAGTTATACCAGCACCATTTGTTGAATATGTTTTCTTTTTTTCCATTTTATATTTGTTGCTTCTTTGTCAAAAATTAGGTGGTCATAGGTGTGTGGATGTTCTTTCTTTTGAAGTATCACTGACAAAGAATCCTCTCCAGTGCTGACAGTGTGGCTCAGTAGACAGACTTCCTACCAGACATATGGCACTTGGTTTGATAACCAACACCCCAAAGATAGGATGCAAGAATACGGCTGACACCTTCAGTGCTACACTGCAAATTAATGATTGTTTTTCTTATGATATAATTAATTTTCTTAAAGTACCACAGTAAGGGGTAGAAACATGACTGGGCAGTTAAGAGCACTGGCTGCTTCTTGAGGTTGGTTTCCAGGCACCCATGCCCAGACAGCTCACACAACCCCCACACAACTGCCTAACTCCAGCTCCAAAGGATCCAACATCTCTCTCACCATCATGGGTAAGAGCACACAGGTACACAAACTCACACTTGCAAATAATAACATAAATCTTCCAAAAACTGTATATGATAATAAAACAAAAAACCACTGAAGGAATAAAAATCTACATGTCTCCATTAGGTAGTTAGAAACATGGGACACCAGAAAATTCCTTGGTCACTATGATAAATGACTATATTAAAAATTTAAATTTATTTTATGTGTATGAGTGTTTTGCCTGCATGCATGCCTGTGCACTATGTGTATGCTTAATTCCTATATAAATCAGAAAAAGCTTGTTGGGCGGTTATAGTGCAAACCTTTAATCCCAGCACTCAGGATGCAGAGGCAGGTGGATCTCTCTGAGTTCGAGGCCAGCCTGATCTACAGAGTGAGTTCCAGGACAACCAGGGCTACACAAAGAAACTCTGCCTCAAAAAAACCAAAGAAAGACAGAAGAAAAGGAAGGAAGGGAGGGAGAGAGGGAGGGACATCTGAATCCAGGAAATGGAGTTACAGATGGTATGAGCCGAGCCACTATATGGTTCTAGGTTTTCTACCAAAGCAGCAAGTGTTCTTAACCACCGAATCAACTCTCCTGCTCTGTGAGTAGATATTTTTTGTAAGCATGAATATAAAGAAAGTTGTATTGGTGTCATTTAAAAAAATGACCCAAAGGTATATTTGTCCCACAAATGTACCCCCCAAATTTTAATTTTGCTTTATTATGGGGGAAAGTTTATCAAATTTAAGGTTCACATCACTTTGTGTTTTTCTTATCACTTCTTCCTTCAACCCCTGCTGTCTCAGAGTACTTATTATCCCTTGGTGAGGGTTCAAAGTACAAGCCAATCAACCAATTCTAATTATGTAGGATGTTTTCTCTGACCAACTTTCACTATAAAGGATAAGTAGATTGTTATTGAATTTAAGAATAAATGTTAATGCAACTCATACTCAGAACAAGAGGACTAACCTCAAAGAATCTTACCTTTGTATCAAAATTATATTCGTCCTTTCTTGCTGTGGGCTCAGTGTCACTAAGATCAGGTTTGGTGGAGAACCTTCAGAATGAAAATGTATAATAATGCATGAGTGTTAGGTCTTTAAAAACTGGCTTGCCCCATCTGCGATTGTGTCGGGCACACTGAAACTATGTTATGTCCAGGTTCAACAACTAATTTTACACTATAACTACTCTTTACTTTTCTCACAGAGAACTAGCAATGTTTTGGTATTGGTCTTATGAAGAATATATGTGATTTGAATGTTTATCAATGGCAATCTTCTAATCCATTTTAAGCTAAACACATATAAAAACATTTCTCTTTAATAAAACAATCCATTTTGTAATTTTTCATAGGAACTGGAGAATATTATACCAATAACTTTTTTTTTTTGGTTTTTCGAGACAGGGTTTCTCTGTGGCTTTGGAGGCTGTCCTGGAACTAGTCTTGTAGACCAGGCTGGTCTCGAACTCACAGAGATCCGCCAGCCTCTGCCTCCCGAGTGCTGGGATTAAAGGCGTGTGCCACCAACGCCCGGCTACCAATAACATTATAATTAAATAATTATGAGTGTATTATTTGATCAAAGTCAAATGTAGTTGGTTATGAAATATAAGAAATAGAAATGCTATATTTAGGAGTTTGAGAAGTATCACTGAATGCAAGAGACTATATTAAATTTAACAAATATGTTCCAAATTCCTGTATCATCATGATTATGATGATATAGACCCCAAGTATTCCAAATTCAACAGCATTACCAAAAGTAATTTGATCCTCTAAACACCTCCCCACCTTGGCAACTCCATCCTTAGAAACTACCATGAATCTGCCTTTTAGTTCCACTCTCATCTTCAATGGACTTCAATAATCTCACATACTTCATCGTTAAAACACTGACCTCCAGATGATAAAGGCTACTGTTCTTAGACCTAAGGAACATGAGGGCAAATTACATTGCTGCTACCTAGTGTGTTCAGGTTAAGTCCCTAAAATCCAGATACTGTATGGACTTTAGATAGAATCTACACAAGCCCAGGAACACGTAGCTGTAGGAAATGAAGATAAAGTAATGCAGGAAAACGACAGCAACAAGTGTGTTCATTGTCAATGAGAACAGAGTAGACAAAATTTAAGGAAGCAGGCAGCGCTAGTAGGTCAAGGGAGATATGAATAGGAAGTCAGGGAGAAATAAAGCAAGGGTGGTGGTAGCACACGCTTTTAATCCCAGCACTCGGGAGACAAGAGGCAGAGACAGGTGGATCTCTGTGAGTTCAAGGCCAGCCTGGTCTATAGAGTGAGCTCCCAGACAGCCAGGGCCACACAGAGAAACCCAGTCTCAAAAAAAAAAAAAAAAAAAAAAGAAAAAGGAATTCAAATAGTTTCCGGACAGATTTAAATACTGCTAGCTGAACATTCTCTACATGTAGAAATGGTTTACTTCTAGAAAAATAATTTCTCTCCAGAAGATACATGATTTTGTTATGTATAAAATTGATGGTACCATGGTCACAGGTTTAAGATATGCCCTAAATCCTTCACTGGTGAAAACAGGCATTGGTTATGACTTCAACTATGATTAGACCATGATTACAGTACCACCATGATTGTTGAGAACACTGGACATGAGCGCATACACACCTGGACTTTGGGAATTGATTTCTTGGGTCTATTGATTATGCAGAAGAGCAAGAAAACTGAGAACGTGCATGGGCTAATTACATGGGTCACTTTCCTGACAATTACAGGATTATGGGCCCCTCAATGAGAGCCACCTACTGGGAAAAATGGGTTAAGACAGACAGCATGCATATTTTACACACAAGTTGTGATAACTGAAATAGAAAGCATCAGACATGTCATGTGGCAGTGAGCCAGAGAGAACTAACAAACACTAGTTTATTTTTTCTGTACTTAAATTAATCTTTAAAACCTTACCTTAGTATAGAATAGGATTCAGTACTTTCAGATGCTTCTAAAGGTAAAGGAAAAATATATTACTAATCAGCAATATAAAATAATAGAAAAGAGATAAGTATAATGTATTAAAACTGTAAAATGGATGATTGTTTGTTAGTGTGAATAAATTTGGAGCCATTCATCAATAGAATTCTAGTGACAGGCAATCCACTCTTCAGAAGCTTATACTTTCACCATTTTGTGTGTTTCACAGCAAAAGAGGAAAGAGCTTGTCAAAATTTAATACCTAAATGCAGACTGCTATGCACAATGGCCATGGTTGTAATTGCAAACCTTCAGACTGACAGAGATGACATTATTATAAGAGGCTGGCAGTGCCAAATGGGTCGTGTGACTCTCCTGGACTAATGGCACTAGGAGCAGTGCTAGGAGTATGCACTTACTTTTATGTTTAAATTTTTCCATTTTTATTTTATCTGTGTGAATGTTTTGCCCACATGCAAGTCTGTGCACTACCTGGATGCCTGGTGCTTGCAGAGGCCAGAAGAGGGCACTGGATCCCCTGGAACTTGAATTACAGATGCTTTTAAATCTTCATGTGGGTGATGGGATTTGAGCCTGGGTCCTCTGAAAGAGCAGCCAGAGTCACAACTGAGTCACCCCTTCTCCCTGTGAACTTATTTTGCTATGACTCAACACAACCACTGTAACATTTCAGGGGGAACTTCTCAGCTTCAGATAAAAAACCCTGGCATAAGCGACATCAGTGAATGGTTGTGGTCCTGTGTAGCTTTGCAAAACGTAATGGACAGAGGAGGGGCAAAGATCCTTTTCAGTCTCCAGATTCCAGAAGAAGAAAAGATCAAGAGGTATCAAGATGCTTTCTCTTACTAGGGAAAGCTAACAACCTCTCTCAGTTCTAGCCATGTCCTCTATCTTGTGTGTGACACAAATGGATCACTATTTCATGGGAAGAACATGCCTTGATGATTTATCCATTCCTTACCATACTTATAATTAGAGATAGGCTTGGAATGTACCACTGAGGGAAAGAAAGTTGCTATCTGACATTAAAGATGAAATAAAATCATTATCTCTTTCAAGTTTCAGAATGGACGAACATAGGGCTCTCTGTACACAAAGAAAACTTTTAAAATATCATCTAAAGCATGAAAAATACGTACTGGAACTCTCTTAGGTATTTCCTAGTCTTTCCCAGGACAGTCTACTAGACTCATAGAAAAGTGTGTGTGTGTGTGTGTGTGTGTGTGTGTGTGTGTGTATGTGTATTATGGCTTCCTAAGAGTGTTGGCAGTTGTGGTGGTTTGAATGAGAATGGCCCCATTGGTGCATAGGTTTAAACCCTTGGTCCCCAGTTGGTAGAACTGTTTGGGAAGGATGAAGAAGTGTGTCCTTGTTAGAGGAGATTTGTCACTGGGGGCTGGCTTTGAGGTTTCAAAAGCTCATGACATTCCCAGTTGGGTCTTATGCTTGTGAATCGAGATGTAAACTCTCAGTTGCTATTCCAGTACCATGCTTCCCTGCTTGCTCCCATATTCTCTTCTATGATGGTCATAGACTCTCACCCTCTGAAACTGTAAGCCCCAAATAAACTCCTATAAATTCCCTGGCTCATGGTGTCTCTTAGTATCAATAAAAAGGTAACTAAGACAGAGGTGTTAGGTTCAAGGCCCATCAGTAGGAAATAAATTAAAGATGTTAAAATGTAACAATTCCAAAAGGAAAGGTTACAAATTTACAAAGCATGCTCATGTTCATCCTTAGTGTTCTTTCATGTGTAACCTAGTGCCTCTTATTCAGATTCTTCCCAGTGATTGTCAGCTATCAACTTGACACAACCTATGGCCTTCTAAAGGAGTCTCAATTGAGGAATTGCCTACATCAGACTTGCCTGTGGCCATCTCTGTGAGAGATTGTCTTGACTGATGATTGATGTGGGAGGGCTCAGCCCACTGTGGGTGGCACCATCCCTAGGTAGGTAGGCCTGGTCTATATAAGAAAGCTAGCTGAGCATGAGCCAGTGAGTGAGCCAGTAAGCAATGTTCCTCCATTGTTTCTGATTGAGTTCCAAAAAAGCAAACGAGAACAAGACTCTAGCCTTATTTCCAATGGAAAGATAGTTATGGAAGTCATTGTGATGGCCATTTTATAAAGTATAAATTAAAAAAATATACCCTTCCATTTTTGCAAATATGTGTCTGGATATAACTGAGCAGGATGGCCATGTTTCTACTGGGTATTGCAGCATAATGACATTCCTCTAGCCATTCTCTTTATATTGCATATCTTCAACGAAATCAAGTTCTTTGCACATATGAAAAGCATTCCATCAGAGTGTACACCCATAAATCATAATAAAAGAAACTACAGAAGACAGGTGTATTTCAGTGAAAGAGCACTTATCCAAAATTGGAGAAGCCCTAGGTTCAATCCCAAGACCACAAAGGAAAACAATTTTTTCTGGTTATATTATTTCAGAAAGCAAAATATATTTAATGATTAACTCATTAAACAGCTCTAATCCTAGGGAAATAAGCAATATAAAAATGCAAAATCATTTTATGGGTTTACTGCATAAATACCAATTTCATGGTTTGATTTACTTAATTCTTACTTTTTTTAACCAAAGAAAAGATTATCTAGAATAATTCCTAATCCAGACCTTACCTAAATTGCTTTCTTGACAAGTTTCAAGTCCATTTTCTTCATATTCTAAAACACCTTGTCTTTTTCCAAAAATGAGAAACATGATAAGCATTAATTACTATTTTAGTAGAGATATTAAAACATTTAATAAAGACTTTAAATTTCTTAAGGAATGTTTCATTAAATACAAGAGAAGTTGTCACCTATACTTCAAATGTACAAACCCTTAAAGTTTTGTGGCAAATGCAATCAAACAAACAAACACCCAAAGACAAGAATGAAGCCAAGTGATACAGCCACTAACCAATGTCTCAAGGTCACACATCTACCAAATGTGAAATCTAGGAATGAAATGCTGTCTTGTATGAGTCTGAAACCCGCTTGTGTTGTTGTTATCATCCACCTAGCACTTCAAGACACTTTACTCCGACGTCCCACGCTCACTACACATAAAGCCTAAGACACTATTAAAAAACAACAACATGCCGGGCGTTGGTGGCGCACACCTTTAATCCCAGCACTCGGGAGGCAGAGGCAGGCAGATCTCTGTAAGTTCGAGGCCAGCCTGGTCTCCAGAACGAGTGCCAGGATAGGCTCCAAAGCTGCATAGAGAAACCCTGTCTGGAAAAACAAAAACAAAAACAAAAAACAAAACAAAACAAAACAAAACCAAAAAAACAAAACAAAAACAAAAAACAAAACACAAAAAACAACATAAAAAGACCTAAATGGGTTCTGGTAGTCACAATCAACTGTCACTCAGAAATACCGCCAGGTGAACATTCCTCAGAGATAGCAATCTAAAGCCTGGTCATCCAAACGAGAGAGTGATTTTCAATTCCTGTTGTGTTTAAAAATGTACTTTCATAAGACATGCACATTAGAAGCATTGATGAAAAAGAAAATAAGATATTTATGCTCAATGTTGAATAAAATATGAACAAGTCTGTATTTCATAAAATCAGTAAAACTAATATGGAATCCTTCAGCATCATGTAACATACAACCAGACTGTGAATAACAAGTACCATGCATCATTAAAGTGGAGTATCAATCCTTTCCAATACTTTTTTGTGCCTGCACCAAATAGTTCATTTATAAATTACTTATGCTTTGTATGGTAGTTTGAATGTAATTGGCCCCCATAAGCTCATAGGAAGAGGCACTATTAGGAGGTGTGGCTTTGTTGGAGGAGGTGTGGTCTTGTTAGAGGAAGTGTATCACTATGAAGGTGGGCTTAGAGGTCTCATTTGTGCTCAAGCCACATCCAGTGTCTCAGTTCACTTCCTGTTGCCTGTGGAGCAAAGATGTAGAACCCTCAGCTCCTTCTTCAATGGCATGTCTGCCTGCATGCCACCATATGCCATGATGATAATGAACTGAACCTCTGAGCAAGCCACTTAAAAGCTAGCCACTCCAATTAAATGTTTTCCTTCAAAAGAGTTGCTGTCATGGTGCCACTTTGCAGCAATAGAAACCCCAACAAAGACACTTTGCTAGATAACTATATTTCATAAACTAGAAATGAAATTTGTTCCTCTCTATTGAGTTTTTCAGATCACAGTACTAGCTGCAACCACCCAGAGCACAGTAAGGCTGCTACTCAGAGAAAAGAGGAAATGGGGTACCCATCCAGCTTGACATCTGTCTGTAACTTGGCAGCTTCAGTTACTGAAAATTCTTTCATCTGTGGTTTGTTTTCCTTCAGTGGAGCTAAAAGTGACACCAGTTCATCCTATACAAAACCAAAAAACAGTAACTCAATAACTCATGAAGTTGGTAGGCAGATCTCAGTGAGTTCGAGGCCAGCCTGGTCTACAAAGCAAGTTCCAGGACAGTCAAGGCTACACAAAGAAACCCTATCTTGAAAAAAACAAACAAACAAAAACAGAGTTTGATCCTCTGCAAAAAAACAAAAAAACAAAAAAAACCCCTCATGAAGTGATACATATTACTTAATATACATATACATAATAAGTGATTCATTAACATAATGAAAAATCGCCTAACATACTCTGTGATCATGACAGTGTAAGGCAGATAGGAAATAAATGGTGTCTTTTCCCTCCACTGGGCCTTCACCTGTGCAGTTCTTTCCCTGTGAAATGCTGTTCCTCAACCCGGGCTGTCACATCAGTCACCCTCTAAACTCAGTTTAAGAAGGAGAGTTGGAATGAGAAAAATGTGCCATATCACAAACAGAGGGAGGGTTTCACAAATCACCAAGTAAAAGGAGGGAAAACAAAGAGCAGCAGAGAAGTAAGTAGAACTCTGTTCCCTGTGGAGGGAAGGGAGGGGAGAGGCAATATCCAAAAGGCACAAACCACAGGCCTCACTTGCTCAAACCCAGTGGAGGAGGTGGGTGAAGCAGCGACTCTTCTACAGACAGGTCAGATGAAGAGAAATCTCGTGTCTTGTCACTACATGAAACATGGAAAGGCAAGGCAACATGACTCCTTCAACAGATCATAGCTCTTTAGACAGAAATCAAAGACACTCAGATGTGTAGAATATCAGAAGATTGTCACATTTTTTCTGGTAAAACTGATTGATGACCTGAAAAAGAATGCAAATGAGCAGATGAGGTCTATTTTATAGCTCACAGGAAGTAGTTGGCAAGATGGCAGAGAAAGTCAGAAGTGTGGATGGCAGGGTCACCAACATGGACGTACAACTTAGCAAGGGAGTGGAGATTTTTTTTTCCACTAGGAAACACTGAGGCTTGATAAACACTTTCAACAAATTATTAGTATACAAAATCAACACGTAAAACTTAGTAGCTTTCCTACACACCAATAACAAACTAGACAAGAAAGAAATGAGAAGAAAAAATTCATGCACAACAAATTAAAAGACAAAATACCTAAAAATAAACCCAGTAAAGGAGGTTAAGACTTTTATAAGGAAAGAAAGACACAGAAGAAAGAAATTGAAGAAGACAATAGAACATAGCTCAGGCTTCAGCTTCTCAAGAAAAGCAGGCCAAAACTGCAGAGACTCACGACAATAGAACATGGAAAGACCTGGCATGCTCAAGATTGGCAGATTTAACATTGTGACAACTGGTATATCATCAAAAGTGATCTACAGATTGAATGTAATCCACATCAAAATTCCAATGGCATTCTTAACAGTATTAGAAGAAACTGCTAAAATTCATATGGGTCCTAATAAACAAAGCAATCCTTAGTAAGAGAAATCGTGAAGGTATTACAATGACTAATCTCAATTTCTGTTACAGAATCATATTAACAAAACTAGCATTATATTGGCATAGAGACCCACATATGGGACCTGGAGAGATGCTCAACAGTTAAGAACACTTACTGCTCTTGTAGAGGACTCAGGCCCAGGTCCCAGGAGCCACAGGGCAATTCACAACTGTCTACAATTCCAGGTTCATGTAGTCCAATATCTTCTTCTGGCCTCTAGGGGGCACTAAATGTGGTGCCCTTACATGTGGGCAAAACACCCACACACATAAAAATAAATAATTAAAACAAAGACAAACATGTGAAACAATGGAATAGAATACAGGGTGCACATATAAAACCAAGCACTCAAAGCCACTTATTTTTTGATGAAGTTGTCAGAAACATACACTGGAGAAAAGGAAGCCTCTGATTAATGGTGCTCAGAGCACTGGGTCTCCACATTTAGAAGCTAGGAGCTAAGATCCACACATCTCACTCAACACAGTCATCAATTTGAAACAGATCAAAGGCCTTAATAGAAAATTGTTAGTGTTTGAGGAAACCACTTCAAAGCCATGTAAGTATTAGTATGGATTTTCCTTCCACAAAGGACTCTAGTGCTACAGAAAATGATTTAGATTATAGACATTGGGATTTAATAACACCCATAGACATTGGTGCTATTAAAATCTTGAACAGTGAGGAAGACAGCTGCCAGAGTGAAGAGACAGCCTATAGAAGCTTAAAAAACTTTGCCAACTATGTATTAGTCATTGACTTAAGATCTAGGATATAAAAAGGACTGCAAAAATTGAACATCAACAAACCAATCGTCAAATCTATCAATAGGCTGATGAACTGAGTAGACAGGTCTCAAAAGAAGACACACAAATGATCAATAGACTCTTGAAAATGTGTTCCATGTTCTTAGCTGAGATGGCTGTTTTTTATTATCAACGGGGCTTCATTCAGAATCATCATGGGCACACAACTACTTGTCTACAATGGTGTCTCCAGAAGGGGTTAACTGAGGTGAGAAGACCAACAACAAATTCGAGCAGCATTCTCCTGTGGGCTCGAATTTCAGAATAAATGAGGTAGAGAAAAAAAGCTGAGATCCAGCCTCCATTTCTGTGCTTCCTGGTGGCAGATGTAATGTTACTAGCTCACTCACATTCATGCTGCCATGTCTTCCTCCACCACAGTGAGCTAGCCTCAGACAGGGAGCTGATATTAACCCTTTGTCAGGTATTGTCTACAGCAATCAGAAGGACAATAATATTAAAACTGCTTTTGAGAGTCAGAATCTGGTGTGCTGTCTGACTGAAATAGCATAGAGGACAACAGGCTATAAGGTACACATGACATCCCCTCTAAGGATGGGCTCTATTAACTGGGAGCTGGAGAGTGAGGTAAGCACTCTGGGGGATTTGGGTGAGGTCTGCCTCTGTAGCAATAGGTGGGAAAGTTCTGCCTCAGTAGCAGCAATAGGTGGGTGAGGTCTGCATCCACAGATAACAAAAGAGTCACCAGGTTGTTAACAATATCCACTCCCAGCTTTCTGGGCAGGAAACAGGTATCTTATCTTTCCCATTGAGGAGAGGCACCTGAGTAACATTCCTGGTTTCCCTAGTGATCTGTGGGAAAAAAAAGACCTTGCTTTAGGCTTTTTTGGGGGGAGGGGTAGAACCTAAGGTAACGAAGGTCATACGCCAGAGGAGAGAACCTACCACTGTTATTTGGCAAAATTATTAAAATGACTCTTTATACCCATAAAATAGCGTATCTTTGAACCCTTCTCAAAGAAGCTTCATTTTGGAGTAGACACTTACTAGCAGAGACCCGCAACTGGTAAACGTAAACTGTTAGACAACAAGGGGCTGCAGATTGCTCAGCCCTATAGGGGACATCTACACCACACCCCATCCTAAAGGTTCAGGGGTCTTTGCTAAAGAAGAGGTAGAAAGATGACAAGAGCCAGAGACAGTTACTACAGTGAGACAGTGTTTTCTGGACACTACAGGGCAGTTTCACATGTGAATTTATTGTGGTTGTGACTGCATGCATAAGACCTACGCAAGGCCAAGTCACACAAAAAGCTCAGCATCCAGGGGTGAGGTAGTCAGGAATGACTGGCACCAGATGATGCTGGGGGAGGGAGAATCAGTTTTCCTCAGGGACGTGGCCCCTAAGGGGCTACACATGCTCCAGCAGATGATCCTACACCTATGCATATACTGGCAATGCTAAGTGGATTTCATGGGCTTTTAAAAAGGGAGAGAGAAAGAACACATGGGATTAAGAGATAGAGGGGGTAGGAGGAGATAGGGGAATAGGGAGGAATTGGAAGAGAAAGAATTGAGGGGTGGGCTTTATTAAAACATGTTATATGCATGAATGAAATTCTCAAAAAAATAAAAAGATATTTCCTATTTTAGAAAAGAAATTTAGTCAGCTAATCATAGATATATGTGCCTACTTGAAAGTTTTAACATTTCAAGTAGAAAGACAGAGTTGGAGAAATATTCTCTTCATTTGTCACTTACAGAATTAGTAATCAGAAATCTAGGACATGTAGAGCATGAAGAGATATAAGGAATAAAAATGAGATGTTTTAAACCTCAAATCGACTTTCACAAAGGGAGATCACTGGGATGAGCTGTAAACTGCCTTTTCTATTTCTTACATTTCCATCCTTCTTTGCCCTAGCATATAGCTCCTAGAGAAAATCACCCAGAATTACAAATCCTTAAAGAGATAATAATGGCATGTGTTTAAAATTTTAACATGTGAATTTAAGACCAGACTGGTCTACATAGAGAGTTCTGAGCAAGCCAGGGCTACATAGTGAGACCCTATTTTATTTTATTAAATAAAGACCCTCAAAATTTTATTAAAAAATCAAATTTAACATATAATTACTGGTGTCCTTGATGGTATATTGCTTGTAAAATTACATCACAAAACTCCACTTACATGTTCACTTATTTATATTTAAAAATATTAAAATGTGTCTTTCAAACGAAACATATTCTAGGTGTTCCAGATTACAAAGAAGTAAGTTTCCATTTGTTTGTTTTTGAAATTGAGTCTCACTATGCAGCACAGGCTGACCTGGAACTTGTAATGTAGAACAGGCTGAACTCAGAGTCACAGAGATTCACCTGTCTGCCTAGGACTAAAGGTGTGCACTATCACCCCCAGCATAAGTAGGTTTCTTAACCTTTTGAAACATGAAGTGATAAAGAAGTCTTAGGGTGTGTATTTAAATAACAGGGTAAAAGGTTTCTGAAATGTGAAATACTGAAATGAGATACAAGAAATTTGGATATGTTTTTAAAACTGTAATAGAAATAAATTCAGGAATTAAAGATTCACTATGTAGTTACTGCACTTCCGTTTCATAAATTGGTTATTATTAAGATAAAAATATATATTATTTATACTCAAACATATTCCTTTAAAACATTTTTATTGATTCTTTGAGAATGTCAGACAATGTATTTTGATCATCTCCATCTCTAACTCTTCTTACAGTTCCTCCCAGAGCCAACCTTACTGCCCCCCCCACTTCATTTAAAAAACCACATAACTCTAACTTGTGCTACCGTATACTCTTGGGTATGAGGTAATCCACTGGAGCATGGCTGTCCTACTAGGAACCACACCCTTAAAGAAAACTGACTCTCCCTTCTTCCAGAGCTATTAACCACTATAGATCCTTAGTTAGCAGTTTAGGGTGGTGGATCATGAGCCCTTCTCTCCATGCTAGAATATTGACTGGCTAGACCTTATGCAAATCTTATGCAGACAGCCATTGCTGCTTGAGTTCATGAGTGCAACAGTCCTGTCATGTCTAGAAGTCATTTCACTCTGGTCCTTCCAGACCCGTGGCTCTTAATCACACCGTTCTGCAAAAGCCCTAAGCTTTGTGGAGAGGGTATGGTATGGGTATCTCATTTGAGCACTCCATTATTCTCTGCACTTTAACCAGTTGTGAGTTTCTGCATTAACCACCATCAACTACACAAACAAACTACTCTGATGGAGTCTGGGAGCTTCACTCATCTATGGGTAGTGAGAAGAATCTGGAGGGCAATTTAATACTATGCTCACTTGGAATAATAATAGTAGGACCACTCCTGGGGCCTAGGAGCTCCCACACACAGATTCTTAGTCAAATTTACAATACCAGGCATGTGTTTCCTCTTGTGGAGCAGGCCTTAAAGTCAATCAGAAAGGAGCTGTTTATCCCCTTAACATCCATGCCATTATTGCATCCATGGGCCTATCTTGCCACACTGGTCATTACTGTAGTTCACAGGGTTCACAGCTAGGTAAGATGTCAAACATACTTTTAACTGAATGACTTACAAAACACAGTATACTACTTTCGTAATGCAAATATTGATAGTGAGTATACACACACCTATGTTAGTATTAGTCTGAAAATAGCATCAAAGACAGAAACAGGGAACAAGCACTCTTCAAACCAAAGTTAAAAGTGCTAGAGGAGAATATACCCTCAGGCTCTCTTCTGCATAGTGTTACACTGTAGATAGAGGTATATTCCTTGATTATTATGATAATTAATTTTAATACACATTTTAGGGATGAATATTGGGTTAATGTTTACTTATCCCAATAATCTTTGCCTAAATCTCACTTTTACTTTTCTGTGGTATGGTGGTTTGTATAAGAATGGCTCCCATAGGCTCATATATTTGAAAGACTGATCCCTAGTTGGTGAAACTGTTTGGGAAGGATTAGAAGGTGTGGCCTTGTTGGAGGAGGAGTGTCACTGGGGGGTGGGCTGTGAGAATTTCAAAGTTCAGGCCATTCCCAGTTAGCTCTCTCCGCTTTCTGCTTGTGGATCAGATGTGAGCTCTCAGTTACTGCTCCAGCACCATGCCTGTCTGCCTGCTGCCATGCTCCCTGCCATGATGATCATGGACTCCAACCCTCTGGAACCATGAGCTCCAAATTAAATTCTTCCTCTTATAAGTTGCTTTGGTCATGGCGTTTTGTCACAACAATTGAAAAAAAAATTAAGACATGTCAGTAAACTACATCTAACAGAATTTCCCTGTCATTATGCATTTCTAGGCCTTTGTTTCAACTCTCAATGGCCTCCAAATGTTTACTATCACCAAAGTTTTAAAAAATTCACTACAAGTCAGGTGTGGTGACACACACTTTTAACTACAGCACTGGGAAAGCAGAGGCAGGAGGAACTCTGTGAGTTTGAGGTCAGCCTGGTCTTTCTAGTGAGCTCTAGGACACCCAGGACCACAGAGAGCAGTGGTTCTCAACCTTCTTTATGCTGCCACCCTTTAATACAGTTCCTCATGTTGTGGTGACCCCCAGACCATAAAATTATTTTTGTTGCTACTTTATAACTGTAATCTTGCTACCATTATGAGTTGTAACATAAATATCTGATATGTAGGACATTTGATAGGTAACCCCTGTGAAAGTGTTGTTCAACCCCAAAGAGGTTATGACCCACAGGCTGAGAACTGCCGATAGAGAGAGAGACCCTGTCTCAAAAACAGTAAAACAAAACAAAACAAATCAACTACACAAAATTGTATAGGAAGTTTTTCTCTGACAAACTCTCCACAAAAAATGATAATAGAGAAGGTACTGCATAATTAGGGATAAATACCGAAAAAAGCTAAATTTAGAACAAAAAAATCAATCTAATAAAGCAGCAATTTACCTCAGCATTCTCTTTTTCTGTAGGATCACAATCATTAGCACCAGGTCCCTTGGAAACCCTTCAGAGTGAAAACATACAATAAGACATGAGTTTGGTTCTTTGAACAATTCTGGAGCATGATCAACTCTGTATACTAAGTGTATTTTTACTTGTATACTTAAAAGTTAATCTTTGTTTTAAAAAAGCAAAGCTTTTAGTTACCTCCTCTGCCTCCATTTCACTCATGAAGAGTGATGACAGCCAAAAATTTCACAGGGGTTAAGAATGATTAGACACTGAGTAGGCAAATTTCCTCTCTCCAAAGCTAACTAAAAAAACAATTTCTAGTTCTCATGATTTTTGCTACATGAAGTGAGGGATACTATCATGATAACAGGAAATAAGGTGGAGAGAGACATGGTCTCATCTTGATTGTTTATCACTGATTAAACAGTAAACTATGCCATTAAAGAAGGCAATTTTGGCTCTCGCGCATAGAAACAACATATTTAAAAGACCCATTGCTCGCCGGGTATTGGTGGTGCATGCCTTTAATCCCAGCACTCGGGAGGCAGAGGCAGGAGGATCTCTGTGAGTTCAAGGGCAGCCTGCTCTCCAGAGCGAGTGCCAGGATAGGCTCCAAAGCTACACAGAGAAACCCTGTCTTGAAACAAACAAACAAACAAACAAACAAAGATCCATTGTTCATCTTTAACTCTAAACAACATAGGACATTCCTAAGACTAAAGTATTGGAAAACTGCGCTAGTTGATTTTATGTCAACTTGGCACGAGCTAGAGTCATCAAAGAGGAGGGAGCCTCAGTTGAGAAAATGCCTCTATGAGATGGGCTATAGGCAGGCATGTAGGTATTTCCTTAATTAGTGATTGATGGGGGAGGGCTTAGTCCATCCTTGGTGGTATCATCATCCTTGGGCTGGTGGTCCTGGGTTCTATAAGAAAGCAGGTTGGACAAGCCATGAGAAATGAGCCAGTAAGCAGCACCCCTCCATGGCCACTGCATCAGCTCCAGCCTACAGGTTTCTGCCCTGTTTTGAGTTCCTGTTCTGATTTCGTTCAGTGATGAACAGTGATATGGAAGTGTAAACCAAATAAACCTTTTCCTCCCTAATTTGCTTTTGGTCCTGGTGTTTCATCCTAGCTATAGTAACCCTAACTAAACCAGCCATAATCTACAGCTGTTAACTTGAGTTTCTATTACAGATTCGTTTCTTTTCTCACAACTGTCTGAAATGATCCAGCTGGGCAAGTGTGTGGTACATTGATTTCTGTACTCCTAAAATCAGAATATAGTTTGCATTGATTTGGAAATGAAATGTGCCCTTTTTATTTGAGCCCACATATGGAACAGAAAACTTGGCTTCCCTTTCCATCTTGAGCTAGCTTTCTTGTAATTCTCTTTCAAGTAATGTTCAACACCAATTATATATGGATCCTTACTCAGTCTTTGGAAAGTTTAATCAGAGCTGCAACCGCAGTTGAGCCAGCTCCAAGCTTCTGAGACTTTGGAAAATATTCAGTGAGACCCAAATAGTAATTTATATGGAACTTGATTATATGACAGGCCAGAAACAAAGCCATGACCCGAGGGGCTGTGGGTGCCCTGGGAGCAGGGAGGGGAAGTTCATCTCAAGGACATTACTCACAGTTCTACAGTGAGTGCAGACAGAAAGAGCCAAAAAGCGAGAGAAAATCATTGGAAGTGCTTTCCCTGTGTCATTCCAGGTCCAACAGGACCCCTTGACAGGGTGGAAGGGAAAGGTGAGAAAAATAATGAGGTATGCAGCTTTTCTGTCTGCCCCGTGACGATCATGTCCCACTTTCTAAAGAAAGATGGCAGAACAAAGATGTCTGCCAGGCTGTGCAGATCCCAGGTAGTATGAAATGTAGTTTTCTCCTCATCTTTTTTTTTCTCTCTCTCTCCCTTCCCTCCCTCCCTCCTTCCCTCCCTCCCTCCTTCCCTTCCCTTCCCTTCCCTTCCCTTCCCTTCCCTTCCCTTCCCTTCCCTTCTTCCTATAGTGCTGGGGGTAGATTATAGGCACTTTCTAATGTAAGGTCAATGTACTAACAATGATCCACACTCTAGCCCTGGGATTTTTGAGACAGGATCTGGCTACATTGCTCAGGCAGGCCTTAAATTCATGATTGCTTCCATCTCCAGAGCTGTTGCACAACTGTAGTTTTCTGGGGTATGGGAAAATGAATCAAACAGGTATGCAGGCCTTATGTGTTATTAGAAGGTGCAGAACACTTCACAAACTAAAGGTGACACCCACAGGCTGCTGGGAACCAGTTAATTTTAGCAGGATAGAGCCCTGAGCACATGAGTGAGACCAGACAGACACCACCTCCCATCAGCCACCTGGGCCTCTTTGTAGACGCAAGGGAAATGAATAATCAATTTCCTAACACTTCCTCTTGCTAGTGGGGTGACAAGGTAAGACAGAGAGTGACAGTTTATAGACCCTTGAGAGTAGAAGACCTGTCAAAGAGAAGGATAGGGTTCTTGCCCTCTCTTTTTAACCCTAACTTACAGGGAATCCCAAACCAAAGAGTCAAACAACAGAGAAGTCACCAAATACATAAAATTCTACTTTACCATGAAAGAACACATATCTACAAGACAACTTACTAAAGCAAACTTCATGAAGTTTAAACATCAAACTGAAAACCCCAGTGCTAGAATAGGTCTGAGATCCCAAGAATATGACCACACACAGTCGAGAGTATTTTGGAAATGCAAATGGTTTTCTTCCTGCAGAAGTTGGCTTTGCTTTGCTGGTTCCTGCCGGGTTTTAGTCCTGAGGCATCTTATGTCTCACTGAGTGGTCAGAGATCAATCTCAGGTCCCTACATGGTGGGATAGTTTAAAGCTTTGCAGTAGATAAGGAAAGAGTAACTTTGAGAGCAGGATGAAACCTTGAGCACATGATTTGATCTTAGAAAATGCTGATGCAGGGAGGGATGTTTTTCAAGATGGCATCTCTATACAAATTTCTTTACAGAAACTCCCCCTTTCTCATTTAATGCTTTGATAGGGAAGACAGTACATTTAATTTATATCTTCCATACCAGTAAGAGTTTTAAAAATGTAGGCAAAATGGGAAAGATTAGGAAAGATGTATTGAGGACCTAAGCAACATGCATGGTAGCACACAGCAAGTTTGTTCTTGCAGAAGACATAGTAACTGAAGTTACGTATAATAAATATTAGGGGCTAAAACAAGCTGTTAATGTATTAATCAAAAACACAGGGATATAATATAGAAATACTAACAACAGTCCAAAATTATAGATTATACCAATATGAGTCCAGGAAAGAAGCCAGTGCAGCTCACATTGAACCTTCTCCGAGGCTGATTAATCACAGACTAGATATGCAAGTGATTACGGAGAGACTGAAGTGGGGATCCAGAGACTACTAAACATATCTTGGGCTACTTTATCACAGTTAATAGCCATTCCTTGCCACCCCTGTGTCTGACCTAATATCTTTGTGACTCTGAAGTGACACCATCGGGATGTAACTTAGCAAGCCACTGCCTCCCACCAACCCAAAAAGCAAGAATGCCATCAGACTGCACCCCAGATAACTGGGCTCTCCCTGCTTGGTTGTAACCCATCCACCTGCTGATCCATTAGGGTATTAAAAAAATGACTCAATTTATGACTTTCTTCATTTTACTACTACAAAATTTTCATGAAACTGCTATGTTATAGAATATTTAACTATGCAAAGACGTGTTACATTAATGCTATGGAATATTACTTAATTTGTAAAGGTGTGTTAGATTTGTTTATGCTGCATTTGTTAATTATGTAAAGATGTGTTAGATTTGTTTATGCTGCATTTGTTTAATTATATAAAGATGTGTTGCATTTGTTTCACCTTGCCTGCCTAAGGCACCTGATTGGTCTAATAAAAAACTGATCAGCCAGTAGCTAAACAGGAGAGGGATAGGCAGGGCTGGCAGGCAGAGAGAATAAGTAGGAGGAGAAATCTAAGAATGAGAGAAGAAGAGAGAATAGAATGAGGACCAAGAGGGAGACATGCCTAGGACAAGAAGCCAGGCAGCCGCCAGCCAGCCAAACACAAGAAGCTGTGAAAATAAGATATACAGAGGGAAGAAAAGTAAAAATCCCTGAAGCATAAGGTAGATGAAGAGAAAAAGGTTAATTTAAGTTAAAAGACCTAGCCAGAAAGGAGCCTAAACTAGGCCCTGCATTCATAACCAATATGAAGTCTCTGTGTTATGATTTGGAAGCTGGTTGGTGGTCCAAAAGAAAAAGCCTGGTATACACAGGAATCAGTGTCTACTTGGTGACCTAAAAAGAAAAAGCCTGCTTAACTGCTGTTACATTGGAATACTGAATTTGGGGGTGACCCCTCCAAACATTATAGGCAATTACTATTATTCTTGGTTGCCCACCAGAACCTGAAGTTAAGATCCTATTGCTGAAGATACTACAGGCTTCTGTTACAGGGCTTAGAGAAATCAAAGTGGTATTGAACTAGATGCTTCCTCCTTGATAGCCAGCTTTCCAAGTGCCAAAAGGTAGTAGGCAGATGGTAGACAAAAGATACTGACAGTTCTACCCAGTTCTGAACACTGACAATTACAATAACAGCTTTCCAGTTAAGGCATGCCTATCGGTGAAACACCATCATTAATGTTATGGGGGGTAACCAACTACTTTTAAAAAATCAGATTTAAGGCCTGTTTCACAGGAGGGGACTCATGCCTGAAAATAGATTTGATCAAAATAAAATGCATTCATGTACAAATGGGAAATAAATTAAAAATGAAATGAAATGAATATTTATAAAACACAATAATAATTTTGCTATATATGTCCTGCATTTTCAGAGCCACATAAACTAGCAAGCACTTCAGAACCTTCATAGGCACTTAAGACACTCCCAAGAAGAGGTTGGCAGAAGCCCAGGGTCCCTATGAGACACCAGGACATCTTCCTTAGGAACTCACAGGCCTAAGTCCCTCTTCAGCAGGACTCAAAAGGACCTCCAACATAAAAAATCTGAAGCCTATGAAATCAGGCATTTCTGGAACAGGGACAGACTCAAATGATCAAATACAGGACTTATGTTTTCTTGCTCCTGAAAAAAAAAAGAATGAAGTCTCACTCACCTACCCTCAATATAGGCACAGCAACTACCCTGTTGAACATACAAGACTCTAGTATCAGTCAGTCCTAACCCTTCCATACCCCAGATGGACATGGAAGGACTTGTGCCAACAGGTAGAGCTGAGGAGACACCTGCTCCAGCACAGAGAACTCAATTCTAGTCTCCTGCCTCCTTAGGGACTCTGGCCTGACTAATTTTTGTCAATATGATACAAGCTAGAGTCATCTGCAAAGAGGGAATCTTACCTGAGACAACACCTCCATAAGACTGACCTGTGGGTGAGTCTGTGAGGAGGGCCCAACCCACTGTGAACGATGCCACGCCAGGGCAGGTGGTTCTGGGAGTTAAAAGAAAGTAGGCGGAGCAAGCCATGAGGAGCAAGCCAGTAAGCAGCTCTGATAGGGAATGTACTTCTGTGTATGTTCATCTTATTGATTGTTGAATAAAGTACTGTTTGGCCAATGAGGCAGCAAGTAGGCGGGACTAGGAGTCAAGGTGGATTCTGGGAAATGTAGTAAGAAGTGGTGATCCAGGCAGGAAGTGACATAGCAGGGAGACTCATATTTAAGGAAGGACAAACAGGAAGTGGCCCTTTTCCCCCTCTGCTCTTCCTCCTGCTCTTTGCTCGGAGCCACCATGTGATCCTGGGGATAAGGACACCAATGGAAGGCGTCTGATAAGTCTTATAAAATATATAGATTTATGATAATTAGCTAGCAGATGGGATATCCTAGTCATTGGCCAAGCAGCATTTGTACCTAATATAAGTCTCTGTATTATTTTGTCCATCCACATGGCGAGCAGAACTCAGGCGGCTGGCAGAGACTGCCCACGTGGCGGTAGAGCTCGGGCAGCTTTTGGCGGAAAGATTTATTGTAACACAGCTCCCCTCCATGGCCTTTGTTCATTTCTGTCTTCAGGTCCCTGATTTACCTGAGTTCCTGCCTACACCTCCCTCAGTTATCTGTTATCTGGAAGTGCAATTGAAATAAACCCTTTCTTCTCCAGGTTGGTTTTGGTCATGGTGTTTTATCACAGCAACAGAAACCCCAAGGCAGGCCCTAAGACACTCTGTAAAACAAGATGGAAGTAGATGACAGCACAGTGCCCTCAGCTACAGAACCTTTCTATATTGTTGGAATTATTCGAGCACCTTTTAACTCAAACTTTGATGTTTGTCACAATTTAAATGAAGACTTCTGTATTTATCTTCAGTTCTGATTTCAAAATATTATAAATTATAGTCAGGTAGAAGTTAAACATGTAAAATCCACTTGCATAAATAAAATAATTTTAATTACAATTATAATATTAGTCATAGTAATTCTAATTAACAATTCAAATGAGATTGAGGTAGACATTGAACTAAATGTAAACTTACACATTAAATAAAAATCTTGGATATATCATATTCCTTTTCACATTAGAGGAAACATAGTTGATGACAAGTAACATTTCCAAGACGACACACGGCAGTCTCAAAGGCTGGGGTCAACCCCAGTGCCATGTGTCTCTAAAACTTCTTTTCCCACATAACTGGTCTTCACTAAGGAAAATTTATTCACAGAAAGCTATTTTATCCACACTTTCCAAGCCAAATAAAATGGGAACCTTCAAAATGCACTGCAGAGGAGGAGGTGCAGTCACAAACAATGGTCATTCAGAGAGAGGGTAGCATGGACAGTCTTCAAAGGCCTGATTCACAGCAGGGTCATACAGGGGGAAAAGTGTATTCAGCACCAATTTATATTTAATGACTCAATTTTATATAAATATAAACGTAAATTAAATTTGCATTTAATTTATAGGAAAACGTACATTAGAAGCTGGGAGGCAAAATAAAACACAAAACTTAGGCCAATGTGGAATCAAACATAAAACTACAAACTCTTCACAAAGCAGGAAATTAAACTGAATAATTACTGTTTCTATTGATTTCGCATTGTTCTGATAATTCTCAGTATGTTCTCATCACTGTGTGTTAAGTTCCTCCTATAAATCTAATGTGTCCGATGCACATGGCCCTCATCACCCCTTCTCATCAGCACTCAGCTGGTTTTACTCAGAAATGGGCGCCTGTACCTGTGTGTCTGCGTGTTTGCCTCCTTTCCCGACAAGACTGCCGCTGGATGTTGGTTTTCCTCTAGTAGTACAGACCGGGATTCCATGTCTTCCTGTATTAAAAAAAAAAAAAAAAAGTTTAATTATCTTAAAAACACGGTATTACACACTTTTCAGCTAAGCTTAAAATCTTGCTAAAGCCAGCTTTACCCTCCATTCCGCTGGGTTGTAGACCGCTGGTTGTCTGGAGAACTTAACAGGTTCTGGCCAATCTGCGGGATACCCGATCCAGAGGCTGGATTCAGTGAGCATGGGTGCCTGGACCCCAGGAGTCTGCACAGAAAAGAAGTGTGGTGTTAAGTGTGAGAATCAGCTCCTAACACCCACTTGACATTCCCATCGCGGCTTGGAGGAGCACAGACAACACTGGCTGCCGCATTCTCCCTAAAAGGTGAATACAGGTGACTGAGCCTTCTACACCACTTAGAACCATGGTCTCAGGAAGCATTGTGCAACAGACAGATGCCCGACACCAAAGACTTGCAGGTCTGCATCATCAGACTTGGGACACCAGCAGAAAGGACACTTTGGTCGCAGAACGCTGTCTCAGCTGGGAGGGTGCACTGATTTGTGATCAGGCCATGCCTCTGCCTGCCGTCTGGAAACAAAGGAAGGGCAAGAGGAAGGCTGCCTCCCTAGTGAGTGAGAAAGAACACTGACTGTAGCCATAACAGCATCTTTCACTTTAATTGCTTTTTAAATCTTAATCTCTTCTACTTTAATTTTTTAGAATTTATACATTCAGACTTTGTTTTATGATGTTTAAGGACTGTGGTGATTTGAATAGGAATGGCCCCCATAGATTCATGTGTTTGAATGCTTAGCCCATAGGGAGTGTGGTCTTGTTGGAGGAAGTGTGTCACTGTGGGGACAGACTTTGAGGTCTCATATGCTCAAGCTTTGCCCAGTGTGGCACACAGTGTGCTTCTGCTGCCTGCAGATCAAGATGTAGACTCTCAGTTACCTTGCCAGCACCATGTCTGCCTTCATGCCACCATGCTTCCTGCCATGATGATAGTGGACTAAACCTCTGAAACCGTAGCCAGCCCCAGTTAAATGTTTTCTTTATTAAGGGTTGCTGTTTCTTCACAGAAACAAAACCCTAACAAAGACACCAATTTATTTATTTTATATATGAATATGAGTGTTTTGCTCCTGTGTATGTCTGTGTATCTGGTGCATATGTCTGGTGTCCTTGGAGGTCAGTCACACGAGGGCATTGTTTCCCCTGGAACTGGAGTTATGGATGGTTGTGAGGCACCATGTGGGTGCTGGAAATGGAACCTGGGTCTTCTGCAAAATAAATGAAAGGAAAAGCCCAAGCATGGCAGACATGGTGCAGGCAGGGTTTGTCCTTTCCCCATCCCTCTCCCTTGTTAACTGTTAGATTACATTCCTAAAGATAGCCCCCCCCCCCCCCAAGGGCTTTGCCCTT